TCTTCCTACATGAAAGGAGACTTGCCCATCCTAGTTGCCACCGAGAGGCCCTGTAAACCCTTGGTAAATGGTGCTCAACTGCACTGGATTGGGTCAGTGCCAGCTACCGTTCTCTCTCTCTCTCTCTCTCTCTCTCTCTCTCTCTCTCTCTCTCCCCCTCTCTCCCCCTCACCATAACCTTTGATGATCTGTGCATTGTGAGCTCTTTGGAACCACAAGGAAGAAAATGTTCTGTCTGTGAAGAGAATCCTCAAGCTTTCTGTTCTCCTATCTCTGAAAATAGGAGAAATGCTAAGCTTTTGAATGGTAGTGAGGTTATTGGTTAAGCAAATAGCCTCTGAGGTCAGAGTGCTTGGATTAAGTATTGTTCTATTACTTAGTGGTTCCATTTTAATTTTGTTAAGCCTCAGTTTTCTCCTCTGTAAAGTGGGGCTAATATTGTACCTGCCTCATGTACCTGTATTGTATGAGGATTGAATGAGATGGTATACATAAAGACATAGTTCTTGACTTGCAGTTTGTCCTCGGTACAGTTTAGCTGTCAGGACTGGTATTACTGTGGCCATACTGTGGCCATGTCGGTGGGGAGAGCAATGGGCGGGGGGCGGGGGGGCACACTGGGCAAAATATTGAGGTTTTTCTTTGTGTATCTTGAGCAACCTGAACATCTAGCCCTCAGAGGTACCCAAAGAGGCGTCCCTTACTCACCTCTGAGTGAGTAAGGTGGGGGGAGGGGAAATGACCTCTGGGTGAGTTTGAGGAAAATAACTTGTCATCCAAGGGCGGACCTTTCTCTTTCCCAATGAGCTCATCTCAGGGAGAGGAGCCAAGAGAGGGGGACATGCCCTGCCACCACTGCTCCCAGAGGCCCAGGGCCTGGCCTCACATCTGTGCCAAGGAAGAGAAGGCTGGGGCTCAGGGACAGGGATGCGCCACCTGCAGTGGGGCGGGCTGGGTGGGGTGACATCCTGCTCTCCTCCTCCAACCCCAGGGCAGGGCTTCCCATCCCCAGGAAGCAGCCCCATCAGCTTATCCTTGGGTGGGGTTTCCCAGAGCCCAGTGTGTAAAGGCAAATCATTGTTCTGCAGTTCCGCTAAGTTTTAATGACCACCCCGCTGAGAACTCCTCCAAGAATAAAGTGAGATTTTTTGAAACCAGAATCAAAGGCAATTAAAAGAAGAGAAATATCTGAGCAAGTCTCTGTGCTGAGGCCTTCTGTGAGGAGACTCAGACAAGGAAGAGAGCTAAGATGTGGTGGGAACCAGGCCCTAACCCCATTCTTTTCATTGTGATCAAGCAAAATGATTTCACAATGGGTCTTTTTTTTTTTTTAATGACAGCTGACTTCTCTCTCTCTATTTTTTAAAATACATTTTATTGATTTTTTACAGAGAGGAAAGGAGAGGGATAGAGAGTTAGAAACATTGATGAGAGAGAAACATCAATCAACTGCCTCCTGCACATCTTTACTGGGGATGTGCCTGTAACCAAGGTACATGCCCTTGACTGGAATCAAACCTGGGACCTTTCAGTCCGCAGGCCGACACTCTATCCACCAAGCAAAACTAGTTAGGCAACAATGGGTCTATCTTTTATCTATAAAATGGATATATAATTTGGGCCCCAGGAAGAACCCTGGTCTTGGCAATCTAGTCTCTTAGGGTCCCAGCTGCTCAGCTACTTTCTATGATCCCTTGGCACACTCTTTCCCATCTCAGGTCCTCGGTTCTCTCACTGGAACACGGAGGGCTGGGCTCCAGGCTTCTTGCAGTTCTATGACTGTGTCTCGGTCAAGGGGGTGATGGGGGTTGAGGCAGAGGTGTGATGAGAAGGAGAATAGCCAGGATGGATAAGAAGGTTGGATGCATCTGAGAAGGCTTTACCAAAACCCCTGGAAACAAAAGGTACACTCTCAGCTGATGAAGGCCCTGCACTGTCCCCTGTTCCTCCTTACACCAGGCTACACAGGTCATCATCTGGGATGCTTTCCTCCCCAGGCTGTTTGTGGCTCAGCTCTTCTTAAGACAGTCCATTCCAGCCTGACCTTGGGAGGTGGCGAGAAACATGACCAGGAAAAGGCCATGTAGAGCAGCCTTCTATCCTGATGAGAAAGCAGCTTAGGCAGCCTCAAGGCCCTTCCAACTCCGATTCAGTTAGGGAAATATGTAATGCTCCCTGCTCTGTGCCTGGGGGTGACTGAGGAGCAAGGTGGGCCTGGGGGTTGGGCCCGTGAATGGACAGCCCTATCTTCAAAGTGCTCAGGGTCTTACCACCCAGACGTTCTGTATCTGGTGACCACACCTCCATGTGGTTACTATTTCTGGGTTTGCTGGCAAGTGTCCAGGGCCACCAGGCCTGGCCTGGCTCTGGAGGACAAGACAGATCACAGTCTGCTTGTTTCTTAGTGTTTAGAGTGTATCAACTTGGAGGTGCGACTATTTCCATTGCCCTCCACACCCTTTCCTTAGTGTTTCTCTTTTATCCTTTGAGCACTCTCTGCCCCTCCCCCACACCCACTCTGAAACCCCTGTCCCTCCAACCTGGATGCCCCCAAATCACATTTCTCATTTAGCGGACACCTGGGTGATACTGGGTGTCGAGCCCAGTCCTGCCCACTAGTGCTTACCAGCTCATTGATAAGGGCTCTCTTAGGCAGCACCAATGAACAAACATCAGCAGACAGACACACTTAAGGGCTCCCCTTGCTCAGGCCCTAATGAGCACCCCAGTAAGTGAGGCTAAGGATCAGAGCTGTGCATTCACAGTGGAGGGAGGAGCTGGAAATGTCACTCTGTCCTTGAGCTAAGACATCATCTCTAAGGAGCTGCCACAGGAAGGTAAGGCTGAGTCCTGACATCACCTGAGTGTTTAACTTATAGGAACTCGAGTATCTATTTCTAGCAAAAATATTGACAGAAATAGAACAGAAAATATAAATTTTAAAAGTATAAGCAATTCTGTTTGCCATTGCAATCTGTACCTGTCGTCTGGTGGCAGACCACTGGTTGCTTCTGTGATGGCCGTCAACCTCTCCCTCCTTTCTTGCCGGCCAAGATCCTGTTTAGTGCTTCTGTTCATCTTCCAGGCGGCTGTTTGCTCAGAGAAGGCTGAGACCTTCCCCAACCCAGGGGGTAAATCTTGATTAATTAGCTCCAAGTCAACCCTTTTCCCATGTTCAGTTTGGGGATAGATTTACGCTTTGTTTTTGACCTGTGAGACTCTGGGGGTCAGCTCAGGGAGGTGGAGAGGGTGCTTTTGTGAAAGGCTTATTTACTCCTCCTTTTTCCTGCCTCTGGATGTTTTCATGACTCATGGGACTGCTGTGTCCATCTTGGGACCACAGAGGAAAGTAAAAAAAAATTGCAGAGAGATCAAACTGAGGCCATGCGGCCATGGAGCCATTGAATTAACCACCTGTGGTGCCACACTACCTTGGGACTTCTTCTTCTTCTGAGCCAGTCAATCCTTTGTTGTGTAAGCCTCCATGAAATAGACTTTCTATTACCTGTGGCCAAAAGTATCCTAAACTATACACCCCAGTGTGAAGATGACAAGGGAGGTGTTAATCTGCTGATTGCACACTCAGTCACGGCTCCTTCCATCTCTCAGAGTCCAAGTATCTTCAAACCCTGAAAAATTCTAGAGTTTCAAGATCCGTATTTATTGTACAACACGATCCTTCGTACAAGCCAAGAGCATCATCTGATACTTTGCAGAAAAAAATGGTCTGTTCGGAGGCTAGAACAGAAGGTGACTGTGGGGCTTTCTAAAGTATGGGGCCATATTGTACTGCATGGGAGACTGAAGGAGTTTTCAGTGGCACGTGTGACTATGCAGGCTTATGTCCTTGTCTTTGAGATGTAAACCTTCATGAGATGCTCTGAGCACAATGGCAACAGAGACTGGCCCCAAAGAAGTAGAAAGTATGGATCATTATAAATTGGTTGACAAGACAAGATTTAAATGGCAGAGTTGTATTAGAGGATAGAACATGGATTTCTGTAAAGAACTCTCTGTAATGGGAACTGGTTGATGGGAAAGGCAGTCTGGGAGGGCTCCTTCTTCTCCTAAGGCTGGGCTTGGTTATGCTGCTGTAATAAACAGCCCCAACTCCTGTGGCTTAAAACAGTAAAGGTTTTGTTCTCACTCATCCTGCATGGCCGCTGTGGGTTGGCTGTGTCTCTGCTATGCATTACCCCCACGCTGGCACTCAGGCTGATAGAATCGCCACTATCTGGAACATTACCACTCACCATGGTAAAGGGGAAGGGTGCTTGGAAGGTCCAGCATCAGCAATTAAATGCTGTGTCTCTCTCACATCAATGTTTCTTCTCTCTGTGTCTCTCCCCATCCCTTCCACTCCATCTAAAAAAAAAATCAATGGAAACAAAATATTCTTGGGTGAGAATTAACCACAACAAAAAAGACTTGGAGAGAAAGCATATATAGATTTTACAAGTGAGTGTGAAAGCTCTATTTCCAGTAGGTGTGTGGAATGTGGGACAGTGAATAATCCGGAATTGTTTATATGGGTGCTGAATTAGATTCGGATGTGCATGTGTCCGTGTTCTGGGATTCATTGTAAGCCCTAAGTAAGATGTCAGTGTGAGGCCTGGATTCTTAAGGAGTGCGTTCCAACCTCTTCTTTAGGCTAAGAATAGAATTGTCTATAAGACACAGGGTTCAGACAATGGACTCCAGAGCTGGAGGTTAAGTAAAAACAAAGGAGGTGCTGACTGCCCGCACTTCTGAAAGGAAGCTTTCCCAGAAACTGCCAGGCAGATAAAGTGTGGGGTACCACTGCCAGGCAGGTAATGTGTGGGGTACCACTGCCAGGCAGGTAAGGTGTGGGGTACCACTGCCAGGCAGGTAAGGTGCTGGGGATGAGCATCGGTATCTTTTACAAGTCACATGGAATTAGAATCTGCAAATGACAGGTGTGTCTATCCATGCCAGCTGCTTGCACTTGGCTCCAATGCCACTGTTCTGTTTTTTTCCAGGAGTCAGGTGGGAGAACGTGCTGGTGAAGGGCGATGAGGCAGCCTCGGATGCCACAGAAGCATCCAGCGCAGACATGACTATCAAGGTAAGGCATCCTTTCTCCAGTTTGATTCTTAAAGCGCGTTTCTAGAGGAAAGCGAGCCAGTGGCAGACTTCTAGGGGGTAAAATGAGCTCGGCCACCTCTCTATTCACTGAAGTTTCAGCAAATGAGATTTCCTGAAATTTGGGGTTTGGATTAGGAAACTGCCTGAAAGCTAGGATCCAAGATGTGATTTTTCTGAGCGGAGAAACTGGGCCCCACTGTGCATTGTGAAGAAAGGTCAGAGAGTCATCAAGTAGCTTTGATCTTGACTCAAGATTTCCACTGATGTCAGCGGGAAAGCAGCACATGGCCCACTCCAGCTGGAACCCCGATGGCCAAAGGTTGACAAAATGAGTCATCTGGAAGTCAACCTAATTATCACTGTTCAAATTAAATGCAGGCATTTGTAATCATTGCCTCGATTAAGGGATTCATAGCAAAATTGATCAGACTCAACTATTTCCCCTGTATCACTTGATTAGACACAGAGGAACAGTCCTCCTCTCTTGGATTTCTGGTCATGTTTCACTTAACAAAGGCTGGGGTGGGAGGGCTCTCTAACATTTTTGCTTGAATGATTAGAATTTAAGTATATGTCACTTAGGAATTTTTCTGCACAAAACAAAAAGTGATGTCCCCTTTTATATTGAGATATAACTAGAAATATTCATTCCTGGTTTTACTAGTAGAGGTTGGGCCAAATAATATACAGGATGAATTTATTCAAGCTTTCCTTTGTAATGCGAAAGCTGAACTTACGTTATCTATGTTAAACGTGTTAGAGCAAGCAAACAAAAATACCACAGTGGAATTAGATGAAAGATGGGGCCTGATTGATCAAAAAAGTCAACTACTAATCTAACTAAGTATCCAGCACTAAAAGTTCCTTTGCTTGTAATCCTGTTTAGCAGACTTTGCAAGACAATAAGATAAATTGCAGTGATGTGTTGGTGTTTCCTTGGCTTTTATTGCAAAGATGGAGAAGTTTCAGAAGTCTGTCGATAGAAAGGTTGGGTGCTGATAGTAAAACTTGATGGGTTTAAATATGCTATATTAGAATGTGATCATTTTCAGACTTAGTTTCTTAGTGGTCATTTTAAGAACTCTTAGTCATCATTTTAAGAAATAGTTTCATTTTAAGAATTATTTTTAGTTTCTGATCCTTAAATGTAGTGAAGATAGTTAAAGGATCAGAAAGACTGGGGTTTGTTTTATAAATGCAAATGGCGTAATTGAATAGAGGCATGTTTTACCCGAGTTCCATTTTATAAGGTTGCTACTTATTCAGTCTACTTATCCTTAGTACCAGGATCTTGGCTGAAGTTTTATTTGGGTCTATCTAATTTAGATGTCATTCTCACTTCCTTAGCTTTTATTTTTCTTTTTTAAATTTAATTTTATTGTTGACGATATTACAGATGTTCCCCAATTTTCTCTCTCTTTACCCCCTCCTCCCAGCCCCTCCCTACCCCAGGCCTTCACCACACTATTGTCTGTGTCCATTGGTTATGCATATATGTGAAATTTTTTTTATAAGAACAGAGGATTTTTAGTTCACAAGAACCTAACCGAACCCACTGTCAAGCATGAACACCGCACACCTTAACAAGTTAGACAAAATAGATATATATTTAAATACACTAATAAATTGGTACAAATACTATTAAGTTCCTCTATCAATGCCAGTCTCTTCTCACTGAAGGATTTGTGAAACCTCTAGGTGGATGTACCTTAGGGAAATGCTTCTGTTTAGTTCTCCATTAGGTTTCTCAATTAATCTGCAGTCATCATTTTTTTCCATTGTTGTCATGCTGTTCCCCACCCCACACTGCTTTCTGTATCCATCCTATATTCTGTCCATCTTACAGTACTATTTTTTCTGTTTCTAAAAGTGTCTGATGTTCATTAATTAACTATGGGCTTCTCATTATGTATTTATGTATCTATAGCTATTCCTGTTTCTAATAGCTACTTCCCATATCCTTACAATATCAGCCATTCCTGATGTATTCCTTTGGCCCTGGAAAAACAAAACATTCTGTTCAAACGTTAATTACAATGAAACCCGATTCACTGACACTTCCCAAAGGGAATAGCAGCAGAAATCACTGACGTAGTTTGGTTTCCGCCATATTACTCCTCTTGTGCTTAAAAATTTTCCTTCTGAAAAAGGTGCAAAAATTTTTGCAATGTTGTAATTGTCTGAATGTGGGATTTTTTTCTTTTATATGTAGCCTTTTAACATCATATCTTATTTTGAAATGACAAACTCATGCTTCTAAAAATATACATGACTCAGAGGAGTGAATTCGTTCATAAACTAACGTGTGTCATTCTGAGGAACCTTGAAGTAAGAGCATTGACATTAAAAACACCCTCTGAATGTACTGATGTAATGTAGGTAGGAGCATCAGATGGGCCTGCCTAATAGTTTTAAATCACTCAGTGTAACAGGTGGAATTGTGAACCTTCCTCCCCCAAAAATGATACGTCCAAGTCCTAAACCCTGGTACCCGTGAATATGGCCTTATTGGGGAGAAGGGTCTTTGCAGATGAAATCAAGTTAAGGTTCTCAAGATGAGATCATCCTGGATTAACCAGGTAGGACCAAAGTCCAGTGGCACATGTCCTCATAGGAGACAGAAGAAGAAACACACATGGAGAAGGCCATGTGAGGAGACAGAGGCCGAGATTGGAGTTATGTGCAGGCTAAGCCACAGGACTCACGGAGCCACCAGAGCTGGAGGACGCAAGGAGGTCCTCCCCTAGAGCCTTCAGAGGCAGCAGGGCTCTGCCAGCACCTTGATTTGGGGTTTCTGCCTCCAGAATCGTGAGAAAATGAATTTCTGTTGTCTGAAGCCATCAAGTTTGTAGTCATTTGTTATGACAACCACAGGAAACGAATACACTCAGATCTACTAAGAATTGTTCTTACTCCTTTTCTTCTTCTTCTTCTCCTTCTTCTTCTTCTTCTTCTTCTCCTTCTCCTTCTCCTTCTTCTTTTTTGATTAATCTTCACATGAGGATATATTTTCCCATTGATCTCCTTTTTTTTTTTGATTAATCTTCACCTGAGGATATTTTTTCCATTGATTTTTAGAGAGAGTGGAAGGGAGAGAGGAGGAAGAGAGAGAGGCAGAGAGAGAAAAACATCAGTGTGAGAGACACATCTATTGTCTCCTGCACATCGAACCTGCAACCCAGGTATGTGCCCTTGACCAGCAATGGAACCCTTAGGTCTGCAGGCCTAACCATTGAGCAAAACTGGCCGGGGCTGTTTCTATTCTTCTGGATATCCAGTCTCCTCTGCTTGAATATAATTTCTATGAGGGTGTATATCCCTAGCACCTAGCTAAGTGTCTAGCATATTGTGTCAATATTTTTGAAAGAACAAATGAAGATCAATCTTTATTTACTGCGGTTAAGCTGGACCCCTGGTCTTCCTCAAATCCACCCCCTGTATTCTCACCTCCAGGTCTTTCTCTTGTGGCTTCCTTCCTACTCACCCTTCATATGCCACCTGCCTCAGTGTTCTGTTTTTCCCTTGTTAGATCCTCTAAATTAGATCCTCATTTTTTAACCATTCCTTTCATTAAAAACACAACTCATTTGAGGTCTATAATTTACATGCCATAAAATTCACACTTTTAAGTGTACAATTAAAAAATTTTAGTAAATTTACCAGCCCTCACCATAATCCAGTTTTATAACAATGTTATCACTCCAATAAGATCCCTCATGCCCTATTTCAGTTAATCTCTGTTCTCACCCCCAACCCCAAGCAAACCCTAACCTATTTCCTGTCCCTATAGATTTGTCTGGACGTCTCATTTAAGGGAATTGTATAACATGTGGTCTTTAGTGTCAGGCTTTCTTCACAACGTGGTGTTTTTGAAGTTTGTCTCTGTTATAGCTTCTATCACTATTTCAATTCCTTTTAGTGCTGAATAGCATTTCATTTGCTGGATATACCAGTGTTCTGTTTTGTTTCTTAGTCCATTCATAAGGTGATGGGTTGTTTGCACATTGGAGCTGTTATCAATACTGCTGCTATGAATAATCATGAGCAAGCTTTTGTGTGGACATGTGTTTTTATTTGCCATGGGCATGTGCCTAGGAGTAAAATTGCTGGGTTATATGGTAAATCTGTGTTTAACTTTTTGAAGAACTGTCAGATGGTTTTCCAATGTGGCTGCACCATTTTACACTCCCACCAGCGATGGATGAGAGGTCTGACCTTCCCACATTCTGGCCAACACTTGCTATTATCTGTGTTTACATGGTAACCATCCTAGTGTTTGTGAAGTGGCATTTCACTGTGGTTTTGATTTGCATTTTCCTGAAGGTTAATGATGCTATCTTTTCATGTGCTTATTGGCCATTTGTGTGTAGTTCATTTTTTAATGAGTTGATTTTCTTTATTTGCTGAAGGGTGGGCTACATAGTTTGTTAATTTGTTAAATTTCCCAGCACACACAGCACCCTCCCATTGCAGGTGCCCAGTCAACTATATATAGTTTTCTGAGTGAGGGATATTTTTCTTGACTGTGGAGGGAGAGGGAGAAATCCACTTTTCCTCTTTAGGATCACTGCTCCCTTCCCCTCCTCCCCCCTCCCCCCTCTGCCCCCTGCCTCCAGGGTTTGGGAGGTCTTATCAATCTCATCAATCCCTTTTCTTTTTAAAAAATATATGTTTTTATTGATATTTTTATAGAGAAAGGAAGGGAGAGCTAGAGAGAGCAAGAGAAACATCAATGTGAAAGAGAAACATCTATCAGTTGCCTCCCACACATGCCCCAACTGGGGATCCAACTGCGACCTGGGCTTGTGTCCTGACTGGGAATCAATCGAACCAGTGGCATTTAGGTGCACAGAATGATGCCCAACCAACTGAACCACACTGGCCAGGGACCATGTTATATTTTTTTATCGTGGTAAAATTTACATGACATAGAATTTACCTTCTAATCATTTCTAAGTGTGCAGCAGTTCTGTCGCATTT